AGAAAGCTCCGTATAGAAGCTGAACACCGAGCATGTGTTAAAGAAGCCGAGGCTAGTAGATCGGCTATTGCTAACCTGACAAAAGAGATCGTATCTGCTCCACATGCTAATACTTTCATCATTGACGAAACTTGCTCAGAGACCACAGTTGAGAATTTCATCTCGCATCCCACAGTAGGATTTGGTGCTGGTCAAGTGTTTTTGCCCACTGACCCAAATGTGTCGAACAATGTCATTCAGTCGACCATACCCAGTAGCTCTGAAGAACTTACTGCTGATAAGATAAAGGATCTATTGGGAAATGAAGCCAACTCTAGTGTGAAGATACTGTTCAAGACCAGTGATGAAAGTTTCGTCACTGTTACTGACGAAGCTCTCCAGAATCTTCAGAAGGATGGTCTGCAATATCAAGTGATAGGCGAAGATGAAAAATTAGGCGACGTTCAGGAATTGCAACTGACTAAGGATATGACCAATGCGGCAGCTGAAGATATACCACTTTTTCCGGAAACGTTTGATCTATTCGGCAATGCTCAAACAGACTCGGCAAATATCATCATTGAACCATGTAAAGTAGTGGATAACACTGGTGCTTTGATCGAACCGGAAAACGTAGGGATACTTTCACTGGACACTGAAGGGTTGAATGAGAGCTATTCAGTCGAAAAGCATAAAGGAAGCATTCCTTCTACCGCGAGTACTGATCAGGAGGAAGATACAAGTTTGGACTTTTCTCCTGATATGCTTTTTGCTGACTGATAACAAGAGGATTTGTTTGGAAGAAGATACCTCGAAGCAGTGACATGTTGTTTGGTTTTTAGTTGTTTGCAGGGATAAATTGTATTCATTATTTGTTTTAATAAAAACAATTTCATGATTACAGTTATTGTTTTTCGGACTCCATTGCCCCACCCCTTATCAAGTACAATGACAATTAATTCAGGGGTTACCTTAATAGCTTCCTTTCGAATTAGACCAGTCAAATCATTGTGGAAATTACATACGCAAATTTGCTGAATTCCAAAAATGAGAAAGAAAAGACGAGAAAATCCCGGGTTGGTGAAGTAACAGGTGAGAAAATATGCTACAGACAGTAATATTTATGAAAGTGAAGGGGTTATTTACTACATTTTTTTTATTTCCAGTTCAGTCTAGAAATTTATTTTGCGATGTTAATAGAAAATACAAATCAGCGTCTAGACATGAGACACTGCGCAAATGTTTGAAGTATGATGCGTCATTCCTAATTTTACTGTGATGTGGCTTAATTGCACACAACGCGGGCGCAGTGGCGATTTCCCATAATCAAAGTTTTTGAAAACACAAAAAAGCGGGAGCTATCGTAATTTATAACTTTGATTATAACCCGTATACCGAAAGGACAACATATAAATAACTCGTCGGGCACAGCTAATAGATATACTCCATGTACACCAATACACAAAATCATCCAGATGTGATCTTGCTACTCCACCAACTTTCATTCTTCCACATCCTCTCAGACTACAGACCACTCGGATTCACAAAACATTCGAGTATACTAGCTTTCTGCAACCAACAATGCGCGCAGCTGAGTCATTCTTCCATAGATCAACGCTTACAAAACTACCTAGTCTGCAAGATGACATTTCGTTGTTTTTTACATTTTATCGGGTTTTTACATAATAGCCGTGCTGTAGGACGAACTATGTAAGGAATAAATCGTAAGGTCTCATCCATCATCTCACGCAACTTCTTCAATACAAACAGATGGCGTCAAATAGGTTAACTCTCGACTTCCCAGGCAACGCCCTTATCAGTACGTAGAGGAATATGTTCAGCACAAACTAGACTTTCAGAGGAAAAAGTCAGTCAAGCAGGTCTATACAATTAGTCCATACATATTTTTCCCTGCCCTACCGGTGGTGCATCAGAACCAGTGGCGGTTCCACTGTAGGAGCACATGAGCACGTGCACCCCTAAAATAAATAATAAAAAATATGTATAATATCCATTTAATAATTTCTCAAAGTCTGAGCCTCCCTGATATTTAATCGTGTGAGTCACCAGTCACCACCCTTACCGCTGCGCTGCCTGATTCGGGCGATTCGGACTGGCCCGGCCCGACTGCCGCCGACGGGTGACGACGGATGACTACGAATAGTCGCATTATGCGATCATGTACGCGGGATTAGTGTGTTTCTCTCCCTGCTGTTCTGGTTGCGGGGTATAGCGGGGTTATCGCAATTTTAGTTGGAAAAGACCCACACTTCTGGAGTGCGCCATTGTCCGTTGCGCGTGCATTTTATGCAGTAATTGGAGGTGTGTTCGAACTTTTATGTTCGTAGCAGTATTTTAATGAGATATTGAGTTAAAACCACAAAGGTAAATCTAGAGACTTTATTAGAAAGTTTAAAATGGAAATCTATGAAAATTAGGCAGCAGCGGTGGCCGCCAGTAGTAGACTCTTCGGTCTCCTGATCAGTCGCCGTGCGCTGTGCGGGTTCGAGTCCCGTCCCAGGAGACATTTTTCTCTTGACTATGGATGTTGTGATTATCCGTAGGTGGTAGACGGTCTCTGACTGTCGAACGCGGAGGTACCACCGGCGGATCTCGTAGGCGGAGCCAGAATGTGTGCATGTTGCATGCACACGTGTTCCCTCGCCAGAGTCCGTGTGGCGTCCCCCCCCTTTCCACTGTATCCCCCTATAGCCCCACGGTACCCAATGGGTGTTTAGGCCTTAGGCCTTCGTGGTAGCTGGAGTATAAAAAAAATGATAACTGGATTTGTGGATGCAGCACAACAAACCGTTTGTTTTGTTTTTCCTGTTTGTTGTTTGGTCGCGGGGTTGCAGAGCCTGCCTGGACAAAAAATGGATTAGCCGACTTGGGACATTTAGTACAAAAAATTAAGAAACATGAAAACACTCAAGTCCATACCAATGCGCACGTGGAAATGCAGCTTTTGGGAAAAGTAGATATACGGCAGCAGTTGGCCAGTGCATATAGGCGCAGTATTCAACAGCAAAATGAAAAAGTTAGAAAGAATAGGTATGTACTTTCAAAAATTATTGATTGCATAAAATTTTGCGGAGCTTTTGAAGTAGCCCTCCGCGGTCACGACGAAAAAGATGGTTCAAAAATCCCGGTATTTTTAGAGGTTTCATAAATTTCACTGCCGAATTAGATATAGCACTTAAAGATCATTTTGAAAAATCTACAGTATTCAAAGGGATATCAAAAATCATGCAAAACGAATTGTTAGATTTCATGTTACAAGTGGCTCAGGAAAATATAAGAAAAGAAATTTTGGAAGCTGAATTTGTTGCTGTTATGGCTGACGAAATAACGGATGTAGCTAATTGTTATCAAATGACTACAGTATTTAGGTACATTATACCAGATGGAAGGCAAGTTGAACGTGTTTGGAATTTTGTTACCCCTCCCCCCCCCCCCCCTGACCACGATGCAGTTAGTCTCTCAGAATGTGTGAAAACTAATTTAATACAAGTGCTAGATAAACCAGAGAAACTGCTAGCTCAAAGTTATGACGGCGCTAGTGTAATGAGTGGACGTCATGGAGGTCTTCAAGCTCTTATTCAACGTGATTATATTTATGCTTATTTCGTTCATTGTTATGCCCACCAGCTAAATTTTATTTTATCGCAAGCTACAAGTCAAAATCAAGAAGTACGGGTATTTTTTTCAAATTTAAGCGATATTTCAACTTTTTTTCTCATTCTCCACAACGAGTTGCAGTTTTGGATGAAATTGTTGGTGCAAGAGTTCCTAGGTCTTCTGTTACAAGATGGAATTTTAAAAGGAGATCTATAAATACAGTATATGAATATCGCGAATTGTTAATAGAATGCAGGGAAAAAATAGAAGCTACTTCAAAACAATCTGTTACCATCAATCAAGCCACTGGTATTGGCCGTATGCTACAAGATTCTAATTTAATTGGAATTAATTTACCGGCGACCTGATTTCAGAAATATGAGTGGTGCCATTAGTATGTTACAGTTTTTTATAGAAAATAATCTTCAGAGCATATTTTTGCCACCTTTACACTTTTACAAATAATTGTTACCATACCAATGACTACGGCCGAAAGTGAAAGATGCTTTTCGACATTGAAGAGAATAAAAACATTTTTGCGAAGTTCTATGAATGAAGAAAGACTGTCAGCCCTAGCAATGCTATCTATCGAGAAAAAATGTATAGCGGGTATTCCAAACTTTAACGAGGCTGTTATTGATAAATTTTCTGCAAATACAAACGAATGGACTTTACGTTTAAACACTGTACTAATTAAAAAACTTGTATTTTATTATAAATGTATTTTCTTGTGTATAATAGAAAAAATAACAAAAAATGTGTCCTTTCATTTCATACCACTTGTGAACCCCCTGTATCATAGACCACGAGCCGCCGCTGATCAGAACGCGTCACCTCTCCCCGATACCTAACTCGGGCAGAGTATAGAAAATACTATGCTGTTGTGCGGCAGACATACGCGTTATTCGATAACAGAACAGTTATCACGGTCGGCGAACGACGCCAACAGCAGTCGCGACCGATAGGTACGCGATCCGTCCCCTGAGAATATTTTTTCAGGGCTAATCTATAGAGAAATCTATGATGTGTGAAATATGTCTAATAGGTGCGTAGTTGGGAGCGTATAAAAGTACCATTTTTTTCAAAATTAATCAGGGTCCTCTGAAACCCCAAAAAATTAAGTTTGAGCGATTTTAATTTATGTAGTTTTAGGCCTCTTTCTTTGCCACCACTGAACGGATTCTGAAGAAAACTACAAAGCTTTTGCGTCCTTGGCATAGAAGTGACATGGTGTAATTGCATCAAAATCCGAGAGGCATTTCTCAAGTTATAGGCGGTTATAAGATTAGCGGACAGACCGACATGGTTTTTCATGACGTGCATGTCATATAACATCCAAAAAACAATATTTTCGAAATTTTGCGCGATTACAATACAACCTTACCAGTAGGCGTGAAAAGTAAAAAGCTCTTCGGGATAAAAAGTAATTAAATTGTCCCAGGACTTTTTTGAGCCAACTATGTCTATCGATTTTAAAAGATTAAAATTGCCTTGAGTATGAATGTTATTGTTAATAAATTTTGTGAAAAAAATAGTGTCAAGTAAATTGAAATGGTACCTTCTACGCATACACATGGCTTATTTTCGAATATTCCGTACCTGCAAACTGAAAATTATATGTACGTAAAACATGAGCCTTGCTAAAAATTAGTTTTTGTAGGACCCAGGGTCGTAGCTACCGCCATATCAGCCGCATCAATGCCCCAGGGGCCCCGGATTACAGGGGCTCGACTGTGTAAGAAGAAATTCGTAAAGTCTCATCCACCACCTCACGCATTTTTTTAAGTGGCACGCCATACTATAAATTATCAATAACTGAAGCCTTAGATCAGGGTTTCCCAACCTTTTTTTTGTTGAGGCTCCTCGGACTATAAATTATATTGTCATGCCCTCCATTAACTTTTCAATAAATACAAAATTATATAGATACAAAGACTTTTATTTTAATTCTAATAAAGAAACTTTAAAAGTTTAAATGAACTAATAAATGTTTTTTATCAAAAAACTTGAATAAAATAAGAGTAGGTGCTAATGAGACACTTGAGATTGCATGTTCTGTACCAGTTGGTTGATTCTAGGTTCTGTTTTTGTCAGAGCTATCATCAGGTCGCTATCGATATCAAGACGATTTCGCTGTTTAGCTTTAGTTGCAACTAGACCCTGTCTCACATAAGTGAATTGAAGAAAAAGCAACTAGTATCGGTAAAACAAGAGAGGCAAGTGTTGAATTAACAGGCAATCTTTTGATCCAAATTTTCTCCAATGTTAAAAATGGAAGTCATCTTTCATGGACGAATCAGCCTTCATTTCTAGAAATTCTTCCTGAACTTCTTCTGGTAATTGTGACACATCGACAACAAATGGATTTCTTGTTATGTGCAATATTGTTGACTCAGAATTTATGTCTCGATAGTATCGGCGAAACTCGTCTTCCAGCGCTTGCAAATGAGTGTTTATGTCAGCTTTTAAATTTGCGTCCACTATGTTACTTTACTTGCTTCGAACATCTGCGGGATTAACAGCAAAATTGATGCTGTTCATCACTACCTGCAATCCACTCGTCCCTCCGTGCTTTCCTTGGCGGAGACAAAAATCTCAGAGATTAACCATCTTAACTTCCCAAACTACGAGGTGCACTCCAATCTGAGAAAGAACGGGGGAGTTGTGCCTTTTGTCCGCAGCAATCTTTCCTACTCCAGAGATGTTTCTTTGGAATCAGGTTGGCAGGACATTCTGTGGCTTCGCCTCTACTCCAAAACATCACCCAAATTTATCTGCTGCCTTTATCGCTCTCCCTCGGACCATAACTGGGATGGCCTACTCGAGTACCTCGCCGTCCAGATGACTCCTTGAACATCAATCACCCCGCTTCAGAGGTAGTTCTTCTCGGTGATTTCAATGCCCATAATGAGCTTTGGTTGGGCTCAAACAAGACCGATGCAGCAGGTCGTGCAGTCGAAACGTTCGCTCTTACTCAAGGGCTGACCCAGCTGGTGACGAGCCCTACTTTTTTTCCCCGCATCTCGTCACACGCCACTAGCCTGCTGGATCTCTTTCTGACCACGCATCCTGTCCCTTACAGCACTGCTGTCCTGTCCCCCCTGGGCAACTCAGACCACTGTGTTGTGGAGGTTAGGTTTCGGTCAGAACCCGCTGTGACAGCAGAAACTCATACAGGCCACAAAACTTGGCCTTACGGACATACCGATTAGGACGGGCTCAGAGACTTCTCTAGCTTTCCTCGGAGAGATGTCTGTTTCACTGACGCGAATGCGTCGGCTGTCTGTTTTTCGATAACCGAAATTATCCACGTCGGAATGGAGGAATACATCCTTCACACAGTAAAAGTGCCTAAACCAAGGTCCAATATACTTAGGCTCAGTTGATCATGATCTGCACAATTTGATTTTATTTTCATAAACTCGTCAAATATGATTTGCTGAGATATTAAAGTGAAGTTAAAATCAACATC